TGCAGTACATGGTATCTATCTTCTTGAAAAAAATGAGCAGGTACCCAGGTCCAAACAAACAATCTCTAGGGGGGTTCTTGAAATCAGATTTTTTTTGCTCCCAAGACCCCTGATCCCCAGACCCAATACTGAAATTGTGAGATTCAGTCAGCCGGTGGCAGGGAAAGAAATGTTCAGGTGAAAAAAGAAAGAAAGAAAAAAAAACACCAAAAATGTGCAAAACAGTTTCTGAATTCAGAAATTGCACAGCACCCTGGCGCACCACCCTTGTGCCTGCCAACAAAGCGCACTTGGTAGGAAGTTTGGATGCACCTGTTGGTGTGCACTTTTCCAAATGTGGTGCCATCAACTCTACACTGGAGAAGACAGTGGCATAACTCAGAGCCACAAACATGACTTTTTTCTTCTTTTTTTTTCTTGCATATATACCTGTTCTGTTCTTTCCCCCAGGGTTCTTCTCAAAGCTCCAATGGTTCTTCACAAGAAAATTTGACTTGCTCAGAATAGAGATGGCCCCAAGCCATCCAGATATCCCCTCCGTTTTTCAGCAGAATTGGGCATCTGCACCTGATGGCGGGTATCCACGGATACCGGCCCTTTAAATGGGCGGCAAGGCACAAACTCGCCGGTTGGAAGGAAAACATTCCTTCCAGCCAATTTCATCCTCTTGCCTTGGTATCCCTGGGGATACCCGGATATGTGCCAGGATTTGGGGGAAAAGGGGCCATCCGCACCCCCTGGTGGGTATCCGCCAGCGGATAGCGGGTATCCGTAATGGATACCTTGAGGCCATCTCTACCTGGGGCCCTTGGTTCATGTCATGCCGTGCTTTACTTGATTACTTACCCTGCCTGATGACACATCTAGGCCTTAAAATGCTTTGCATATAGTATTCTAGTGTATTTTGAAATAATATTCAAACTTCTTCCTGATTTCTTTTTTTTCATTTCATTTCATTTCATTTCCTTTTTCAAATTGTTTTCAAATAGAAAACCCAAAATTTCAAAACATTGGTCTATAATTGGAGCCTTAATAAGGTGTTTATAATCTTTTACATGAATTTGAAAAGTAGTGTGAATTGTTCAGAGACCCCCCAAATCCAAGTTTTTGAAATGTGGTTGGTAATTCAAGGCCTTAAAATTGGCTTTTTCAATCATGAACCCCACTATTCAGATACCAAAAAGATTTAAAGCTAGATACAGCTATTTCGGAAAGGGTTGTCCACTTGGACTCGCGAAATCTTTTTTATTTTTTTATTTTTTTTATTTTTTATTTTTTTACTGAACTGGGCCTGTCAGAACTGAACTACTGATGACAGCTGTACCTCACTCGGCTGTAGTTCAGTACAAAGAAAAATTTAAAAATTCA